CGTCACAGTAGTCATGTGACTCGATGACGCAACAATATTAAAACACTCAAACCAGCAACCAAAAGTGAGAACTTGCATAAAAATTGTAGTTATAGGAAAAAATACTAAAGCACTGTCCAAGTCAAAATGAAATTAACTCTCTTATTCTATGTAAAGATCTTTTAAAATTTATACAGGTGAAAAATCTTCTGGAAACCTACATCAAATCTAGATGAAATCTGTGGAAACTTCTTTTAGGTTCCAACACTGTTTTAAATATGGCAGTAAATCTTTGACTTTTTGACACAAGAAAGCAGTGATTGGTGCCTGTTAGATCAGTTGGCCATCAAGCCGTGAAGATAATGGACGGGTCCATCCACAACTACTGCCTGATTTGCCGACAAGAATAAATCAAGATGCTAAGTTAAAATGCACGTTATTATCCCTGTAATAAAATCAGTCGAGAAAGTGACTAATATATACTTGACCCAATTAGCCCTTATGGAATATTAAAGTTTGAAACTTGCTTAAGCAATATTATATTCCAACTTTAGAAAAAAATAATTTAGTGAAATTACCTTTATATTAAAAGGAGTGGAAACATGTAGTACAGCCTGGTACCACATGTTCAAAGATGGCTGTTTAACACCTACGCAATACAGGGATGAGATTATAAAGGTTTATTTGAGGCTATACACTGCACCATTAGCAGAGCCTTTATTTCTATGCAGCCCTAGGTCATGAGAACTTATGTGGGGTATTAAAACACTTGTATGGAACACAAACTCTAGCATAACGTGAAAATTTTACAACCACAGTAAAGCATTTGCTCTCTGGATAACCCTGTGGCATGTTTGAGTGATCTTTCACTATTACTACTTCAAATGGATGACTGTTGTCAATTTTCTAACAAGTAAAGTGACTCTCATTGACTGTTTTTCTTCTCCAACTTTACAGGAAGGAGGGGGGGGGACATGCTATGTTACCTGATGGCAATACAGGCCACTGAGGTAGACTTCAAATATGGTTGGTCTCTCACTGATGGGTCACTATGTACCTCTTCTTTCAGAGTGGTTCCCTATCCCACAAAGTGAGTGTTTGCCATCTTGCCTGATGGTGAGCTACTTGTGACAATGAAGCTCATCCACCCCTGCTGTCTCTTGTCTGTAAAACGCCATTGCGTGGGCTTCACTACCAAGGTTTAACCTGAGGGGAAGAACTTCATAAGGCCTTCTGGGTGCTCCAGGAGGCCAATGTTCTTTTGTCTCAAGACCATCTTCCTAATAAACCAGCGTGGTTTTTCTGTCCCTCTCATCAGTACTTCACAACCACAATAATCAGGTCCTGGTCACAGCATCAAAATATTTCGCACCTTAGTTTTCTGCCCTGTAGTATTTCGAGGATTTCCGACAAAGCAGAGAAGTCCATGCTCACAAAAACAGGCCTCAGCCCTACTTTAAGACCTCAGCAAGGTTGAAGATTATTGAGCTCTCTGATGTACAACTGGTATTGTCTTGAAGAAATACTTCACATGAGAAACAGGATTTTATTCACACTCAAAAATAAAACTAGAGGAAGTATAGAGTGGCGCTGTATAAATATCCAAAGTTCATATTAGTATAATTTGTCTTCCCTGTAAACTAAATTAAACCTAAAAGTAAAAATTAAACCCTAGTGAATATTAAAATAAAGTTACAAAGTTAATTAAACAACACCTATGATTAAGTTTAAACTATAGTTAAAAACGTGAGCAAAACTACACGTGAATAAAACCCAAAGAAAATATTGCAAAATTCAAATACTTAAACTTACCCCAAGTTCTAAATTCGCCGACAGAGTAGCTAGCTTTATATTTCTGGACGTCATGCACGTGCTATCTGCCCTGTAAGAAAGTCGGTTAATTGTCAGTTATCGAACCCACATCTTGCATGTTCTTAAAATAGGGAAAGTAAAATGTTACTTGAGCACTTCTCTACATTAAAACAGGGAAGTCTGAAAAACACAATGATTTTGAGAAAATTTACACTTTAACTAAAGGGGTAGCAAGCACATGGTACAGTGCTACATTAGAGATGATAATGTTACTCACTTTGTTCTTGTGTGTTGTAAGATTCTCTTCGGAGGAATACAACTGTCTGAATGGAGTAGCCTATCCAAATGATTTTTCTAATAGATTAAAAACTGCCTATATACCTAAAACATTCCATTTTGTTGGGTATACTCTAACGTGAGGTGTTCTGTAAAAATGTATTGGGAAAAGAAAAATAGGTTGTATTTCAGGACATATATGTACAAGAAGCAAGTACACACCTAACTAATATTTGCTATATCATTTTAAAAAGTGACTTCTTGCAAAATTGAGTAGCATATGCTTTTTGTAATCACGATTAACGTTGAAAATCTTACTCCATGAATACAAAAAAGCATTTTATATGGTGATGTTTTGGGTTGCCACTTTCATCACTTGAAAAATATTCAAGACAAACATTCAGACTTTACTGACTTTTCTAATAATAAAATAAAGTAATTTATAATTTAAAAATGGGTTACATAAAGTCCAAAACTCTCGTAACTGATTCTTTGTATGCCACATAGCGAATCTATTAGAACCATCGAAGTCTCACTTTTCTAATAAGAAACAAATTTTATGTTTATCACACTAATAAAGAGAGATAATGTTAATCCCTTTGCTGGATTTTAGTGTTATATATTTCAAGTATACGTGTAACTTTATATAGATTATGTCAAGAGTACAAAACTTTATTTAAAAAATTATAACTTGGTATAAACACAAAAGCAGATGTTAAATACTATGTAAGTTTCTATTATGAAGCACATTTTCAAATAATTTTATTTAATAGTTTAGATCTTACTTCTTGCTTCTAAAATCTTTGTAGAACTTCATAAAGTAGCTTTCAAAAAACATTGAGGAGATTAAGACTACATTAATTTTTATTTATGCGTTATTATTTATATTGTCATAATATATGTAATAAGTACAACTTTTCCTTATTTGCATTTCGTAGCGTTCTCAACGTCAATACTGCGTCATTGTGAAAGAGTGTTTATCTTGTCGGTGTAGTATCTTCACCAAAAATTAAATAGATTAAATGGAGAAAGTTGATCTTTGTAACATGTATTAAACCAGTGGAAGGAAAAGGTAATGTGAGAATAGTTTAATCGTTGAACTTATTTTTGGTTTTATTGAGTACTCATTTTTATTTTTTTCGTTTTACTGTACGAGTTAAACTTGAACAATGCGGTTCAAACTACAGTTACAAAGGCTTAAGCGCTTCTTAGGCCTAATCGTTACCTAACAGGGTTTATTATTTCTTTATTCAGGTTTAACCATTGATGTGGCGATGTTACTCAGTTGATCTTTTAAAGTTATGAATATTCTTCGTATTATTCTTTATAGAATGTCTTAGTCTTAAAAAATGCGTTGATAAAATCAAGATAAGGTAATGAATGATAGTGATACTGTGATTATGAATGTGATAGCCATGAATATTGTGATTAACGATTACTTTTAATTTAGGTTTTTCGATCATTTTGTCATTACTCCCACGGTTTAATAACATTAATATTATTTTTGATTAATTCTTTAAAGTTTTTAAGATCATTATATTGACGAACTTAAAATGTTACGTTTAGTTTTAGTAATAGTAGGTAAATTGTTAGGCTTGTTTAGTGAAATTATGAAAATATAGCCTAAACCTGCAACATTACAAGTAATGTGTAGATGTACATACCTGCCTCACTGTTCAACTATTATTTGTCTATTGACACGGACAGAAAAGTGGCAATAAAAGCCACTAACTTACTATTTCAACCCACCAGTGGTACTGGTAGTCACTGCTATAGACAAGCTGTTGACACAAACATCAAAAGTTTAAATTAGCATTCCTGACTAACCCCAGTAATTCATGTTATTTGTCATAAAATGGACAATGTTAGTGATCATGAACCAATTGATAATAGTACCAGTAGCAGGGAAGAATAGTGATAGATATTTGTTGGAATAGCCTTTTCTTCTTTTAGTAAATTTAAAACTAATCTATATCACCATAAAAAGAGAGTATCCTGCCCTTTTCCTGTCTTTAACAGCCAGACTGTGGAAGACTATAAAAAAGGTATAACAGCAAAATAGCAGGTAGAAAGTACTCAAAATTCAAATGAATTAATAGATTTGTCACAGTTTGAATATACATACTACAGTGTGCATTGTGTACATTATTCTTGTAGATGTAGTAATTGATAGCATGCAGTTGTAATAAATTTAGGTCATTAGCTATAGTAAAAATGTTTGTGAAGATGTATTACTACATTTGCAAAGCACTGATATATTTATGGCATGCATGGCACTATTGTTGCGAGATGCTTTGGGCTTCCTGGCCTGTAGTTTGACTGTTGTTGGTGTCAGTAGCGTTATCGTGGTTGTAATTGCCTCCGTCTTATCAGTGTCAATATTCACTTTATTATTTTTCTTTTTCAATTTCTCATGACACTGAATTTTTACCTGTAAAATTAATATAGAAATATTTTCAGCAAAATTAAATTGATTATCTGTGTACTTTGATTAGTGTAATGTAAAATAATCAATTACTAGAAATTAATGTTTCTATTTATTCCAGTCTCCCAATGGCTCAGTATTAAGTCTGAAGGCTTAGTGATAAAAATCAGGGTTTGATATTTGTGGTGGATTGAGCATAGATAGCACATGTGTAGTTTTGTGCTTAATAACAACCAAACAGATTATTCCAATTATCCAAGTTATCAAAATATTGTTATAGTTTATTCTTGTTATATTAGCATTTCTGATTATTATTTTTTATTATTCTAACTATCCAAGTCTCGTGAGAATAACTAAGTGAATTGAATTGATTAATGGGACAGAAGATTAATCAATTGGCAAATTCCACTAATTGCCCATCTCTAGTGAAGATGCATTTAACGTATCCATGTGCTTTATCATCTAGTTGTAGTTGTGCATGTTCTGTTCACAAGCATGTGCCTGATCAACTTAGCAGAGTATTTTCTATAAACTTGTAAATCTGATCCCCAAAACTAAGTGTACGTAATTTACGTTAACCTGTAACTAATAGTAATCTCATTAGTTAGTTATGTTTAATATTTTCTGGTTTATTATCATTGTCTTAAAGCAATACTTAGTTTCCTCAACAAAAATTCAGTAGTTTTGGTAGAATAGTCTTGTGAAAATTTGTAGGGAAAGTCCACAGAGTGATATAAACTCTTTCAGCACAGGCTCGGTTCCTGAGAAAAACCTTGTAACCATTTTGTGCTTGTTA